AGGGATGGGGGGATCTAGCTGGAGGAGCAGAGAAGAGCCAGGCCCTGGTCCCTGCAGGGTCCCCTCCAGGACAGGGGTTGGCATGGGGGCCGGGGTGTGACAGAACTGGGAGAAGAGGGAGGACTTGGGCCGAAGCACTGGGGCATGCTTGGTCTCCACGGAGGGACCACCCTAGCCTTCCCGGACACCAGCAGTCCCCTGGCACAATGACAGGGCCTGGGACAGGGACACAGGATGAGCCATAATAGGTTTACAGGGAGGTTGTAAATCCCTTTACAGGCTGAGCAATCTACTCCCTCAGGCAGAGTGCCCAGGGGAAGGCCCGCCCGCCACTACTCTCAGACCCCTGCCCAGCAGTGTCCAGTCACCGGCGGGTACCAGGGCCAGACCGCGGGTCTTCAGAACAGGCTGCCCGGCCTCGTGTTGTGCTCTGATCTCAGAGCCCTAGAGAGATGCCAGGTGGACTCAGGGCTGGGAGGGGAAACTGACTGGTAGCAGCCTTGATTGTGACCCCCATGCCTGCACACACCCACCTGTACCACAGCAGAGTGTCTACCATCCCGGCCCCCAAAGGAAGGAGGCCACAGGAAGAGATATGGCTGTGCCCAGCTCCACAGATGAGAAACCCGAGTCGGGGGTGGTTTAATGGACTGATCTGGTGCTTTTTCTGCCGTGAAGTACCGTCGCCCTAAGTGTGAATCCTGGCTTTGTCACCTATCTGGTGGCGGGCCCCTCCCTGGCAGTCCCTTCTCCTCCCTGAGCCTGTGTTCTCATCTGAAAGGGAGCATATCAGAGCCTCCTGATGGTAGGACCAAATAAGACAACGTGGGTAAAGTGTCCGGCCTGGGGCCTGGCCAAACAGTGGCTATTATTATTACCATTGCTATTACCCCTGCGACCCCCTGCCTCCTGCTTCTCCCCAAAAGGACACTGGACCAGGGGTGGCAAACTTGGTTCAAGTCCTGACTCTTTACTTACCAGCCAGAGATCCATCTGTAGGCCAGTCACCATTGCTCTCTAATTCCCCTTACTCCTGGGTACACCGTGGAGGCCTGTGCACTGATGAATGGTTCCTAGAGGACAGAGGCACCTCCGAGGTCCCTGTGGAGGTCCCCAGGGGTGGCTGCAACAACCCTTGCCTCCGGCATGCCCTTGTGTTATGTGACTTTGCAGCTCTTCCCACCAAGAGCTGGGGTCTGTCCTTCCTCCCTGTGAATCTAGGCAGACCTGTGACTCGCCTTGATCCCTGGCGAAGGCCTCAGGAGACTGGGCGGTTTCCCTTTTGCCATCTCGGGAGTGCTAAGCCACCATAAAAAGGTCCAGCTAGGCTGCTGGCCAGACCACGTGGAAATAAAGAAGCAGGCTGGCCTCCCACCCTTCCAGCCTCCCCAGCTGACACAGACATGGCCGGAAGCCACCTCGGATCTTTCGGCCCCAGGCAAGTCTCCCTGATCAACACCACGCAGAACGGACATGAGCTGTCCTTACCAAGCCCTGCCCAGGTTGCAAATTGGAGCAAATAAATGGCTGTCGTTTTGAACCACTAAGATTTGGGGTGGCTGTCATGCAGGAATAAATAATTAATATGTCCCTTAGTTCTTTCTGCATCGTCTTTACCCAACTTGGCTTAGATCAGGTTGAGCTGATTGGACAAGGGGACAAGCATCTGACTTAGAGGCAGCCAGTCCATTGGTTGGCAGATGGCCAATAAGATTTTTTTCTCTGGAGCATATGAATGAGGAGATCAGAGATCCTAGCAAGTCAGACTCCGAAGGAGGCTGGAGTTGGGGTTTGGGAATGGGAGCTGAGGTGACTTTTAACCCTGTATTATCAGAGGACATCAAATTGGGGAGAGAAGCAGGAAAGCTGACAGACCACGGAACCAAGTTCTGTGAGGTTCCCAACTTAACTCCAGATGATCTGCGCTGCCTCTGCTCCTTGTACCTCATGAACTTTGCCCTCAGGTCCCAAAAGGCTCAAGGTAACCCAGGGCTCCTAATACCCGCTAGGGTCTACACTGCTCCTCTGACCCCTTCTCCCCTGCCCCCTGTGACCTCTGTCCCTGCAAATGCATGCAGGTGGTGGCCTTGTCCCCCAGGGCCCCAGGGCATGGCCGTTCTCTCTGTCCTTGTCAAATGGCCGTGGTGGCCCGAGGTCTGCCTCCATCCTCCCACACAGCCCTGAGCCTTCAGTGGCAAATTGGAGCGCATCACCAGGCTTGGCTTCTACCCCAGTCTCATTTGAAGGTTCAGCTCCTTTTGTTACTCACTGTCCCCCATACAGTCCCTTTCCTCCCCAGTTCCTGAGTTCAACTACCACTCCCCTGCTTGTCCACAAGGATGCCATGCTAATAAGGTGGTAATTATGGCACAGCAAACAGCTGTCACACCTGAGATGGGATTTAAACCAAGGTCTGCCTGACTCTAAAGCTCACGCCCAGCCGTCACTCTGCTGTGTGACTCTGAGCGGGTTACTTCCCCTCTCTGAGCCCGAGATTCTCACTTGTGAAGGGTAAAGCAGGGGTGGAGCAGGGGTGGTGGTGATCCGGGTGCTTGCCACTAAGACTCACCCTGCTGGGTGCCATCTTTGTCCGCATTCACGCGCCTGCCCAGGGTAGGCTCCCAGTCTTACCTCCCTTTTCTTTAAGGCATACCTGCCTCATGGAGGAGCAGACCTGGAGGCTGCCTCGAGTCTTGGTCTCCTGGCCAGCAGGCTGGACTCACAGGATTCAGGATCTTGCCTTCTCCCCAGTTGCTTGGACCCAGAGCAGCCAGCTTCCTGTCAGGCAGGACGTGCAGACCCCACAACCCCATCGGGTCTGAGGCAGGCCTGCCTAGCTAGGACTGTGTGCGAACAGGGGCCACCCAGACCACCTCCGGCTTCAGGCTCCCAGTGGGTGGGGTGCCCCACACACAGGTGGAGCTGAGGATATCTGCTCCTCCTCTTTCCCCACCAGAGGCTCGCAGGCCATGGACAAAGTAACCTCTTCAGCCTGACTTTCCAGCCTATTCCCCCCTTAAATCTGGCCAGGGCTCTTAGCAGGTGAGCCCATTCTTCTTTGCTATGGATGGAGGTTCCACAGCTAAGAAGGGGCTGTACTAAAGCCCAGGCTGCCTTTGCTTGGGCCAACCCAGCCTCCTGCTCTGGGCATTCACATTCCCCCAAAATGACTCCCTCCCTGATCTGAAAACAGCCCCACAATTTTCTTGGGTCCTTGAGCTTCCTCAGAGGTCTGGCTGCCTCACAAGTAGCCAGGAGTAAACTGGTTGATCTTTTGCTTTTCCCACACATTATGAAGCCCCAGGCATCCCATTGTTACTCACTGGCTCATTGGCTCCTGAGGGAGAACAGTGCCCACCAAGGTATCCAGAGCTGGGGCCATGGAGAGTCGTGCTCTGGTCTCTCTGAAGGTGAGCAGGCCTATCAGAGTCTTGGGGCCTCTTGTGGTGTACAAGCCAGCCCCTTGCTCAAGGACTCCCCTCACTGCTCCTGTACCCCCAGGGGTCTCCTGCCAGATGGGGGTCCCCAGGCCTGGCTCTGAGAAGTCCCAAGCCAGGCTGAGAAGGCTATGGCTCTGGGAGTCTGGAACTGCCAGGCTCTGGTCCTGTCACCTAGAAGCTGTGTGGCTTTCACTAAGCTACCACTCTCTCTGATCCTCAGTCTCTATATCTGTACCAGAGCTGTCCTTGATAGTAATCACCACCAGCACTGGGAGAGGGCTCACAGTGCCAGGCACCACATCGATTCAACATACCTATGCTTCTTCATTTAACGTCCTAACAACCAAAAGTAGTAAGATCATCTTTATGTTTTGGATAAGCAGACTGAGGTTCGGAGGAGTTAAGTAACAATCCCCAACAGCTGTGACAGGATCATAACCCAGATTGGACTTCAAACCTCAGAGCCTGTAATCACTAGTCTAGGCTGCTCCGCAGGACCTTCAACCTTTTCCACACCAACCTTCCTGAAGCCTATGGAGAGAGGCTCCTGTTTCTTCCAAGGGGGGAAACGATCGTTCTGAGGGCTTGAGGTTTCCCCAGAATCAGGGACAGTCCTGGGGTTGTTGCTGGGAGAGGGGAGCTGGGGAAGTCTGGCCCAGCTGTTGGCTGTAAGTTGCATCAGCTAGGAACTGAGAGCAGAGCATGTTCTCAGGTCCATCTGTAGATCGAATGAATGAATGAATGAATGCATGCGTGAATGAATGAATGAATGTGAGTGCCAACTCCCTGCAAGACTCTGCTCCCCCCTGCAAGACTCTGCTCCCCGGGCCACTCCACCGGAGGCTTGGTTTAGAAGGTGCTAGGCACGCAGGTACCTAGCCCATGCCAGGTTGGGTTGTGGGTGTGAGCCCCAGGAAGAGCCCTGATCAGAGGGGCTACATTCTGAAGTCGTGTTGCCAAGTGCTGACCTCCCCATCGCTTCCCCTTCCCATTCGGCTAAGCCTGTGCCCGTCGGTTCCTGCAGCGCCGGATTCCCCCACAACCTGAGGACCAACAGGGAGCAGATCATCCTGGGCTCGCCATGGGGCGGAATGGAGTAGTCCCCGAAGAGAAAGAGGAGACGGAGGGGAGAAGCCAGGCCTCCCTAACCCTGGGGCCCTCCCTGCCTGACGGAGGTTGGGGTGAGCACATGGGCTGCTGGCCCAGCTTCTTGAGCCAGGGCCCACGGAGTCAGGGGAAGTTACAAGGTGACCTGACTGGCTCTTCGTACTTCCGCCACCCGGGACATGCCTTTCCAGGGCGGAGTCTGGTGTGGCTAGGTTTGGTGTGAGTTGGCGGGGCCGCTTCTGACCCTCCAGGGGAGCTTGAAAGCATAGACCCCCAACCCCATGGCTCTTCAGAGCCCAGGCTAGGCTCAGAGTATGGCGGTGGCCTGGACCGCTGTCCTGGGAGGAGCTTTTGAAAGCCCCTGGAGCGGCCCTCCCCAGGTACGCCCCCAACCCTGACCCGACGGAGACCCCATCCCCGACAGTGAGATAATAAGGACCATAATGAGAACAGTCACCCACACATGTGCACAGCGCTTTACAGGTTACAAAGTGTTTCACATACATCATCTCATCAATTCCTCACAACAGCCCTGTGAGGTAGGCAGGGCGGGGAGTAACGTTTCCATTTGTACAGATGTGGAGACTGAGGCCCAGAAAGGGTCAACGACCTGTTGGAAGCCACATGATAAGTCAGCAGCAGAGCTGGAACCAGAAGCTAGGCCTCGGTCCCGCCCCCCAGCCCCTGGCTCTCTCCACTGACCGTGCCGTCCTCCGGAGGACCCCAGCCCCTGTCCAGAGTCTCGGCCACACCCGAGCCAGGCCTCCCCCCCAGCCCCTGGCAGTAGCGCTTCCTGGCAGCTTGGCAGACAGCCCCCACCCCCATCAGGCAGCCCTGTCTCCTCCACCTGCTCCCTGCAAACATCAGCCCAGAGCTGGGCCCACACCTGCCCCGCTGCCCGCTCATGTCGGCCGCCCAGGCAGGCGGGGCTCAAACCTCCTTTCCTGTTTTCCTGAGTGATCCCTCCCCATAGGGGAAGAGAAGAGAAAGGAGGAAGAGAAGGAGGAGGAGGAAGAGAAAAACAAGAAACTGAGTTGGAAGAGGGCCCTGGAGCAATCAGGACGTCAAAAGTTTGCATTCCGACTAGCTATAGGAAATAGCGTTTTTTTTCTCTTTTTATTATTTCAAGTTTTCATAAAAATCCATAATTATTGAAACCCAAGTTACAGAGGAAGTTCGTAACTTTTTTTTTTATTGAATTATTGACTGTGCTGCATGTCGGTCTGTCAGCTTCCGACTCCAGTCTGTCAACGAGTGCCCCTGTGCAGGTGGGGTCCCCAGGACTGGGCTGTTGAGGTCCTGCTAGGAAGGGGGCAGGTGGTGAGGGCCGGTGGAGGGGGGTTGGGGGGCAGCAGGGAGCGGGGCTGGGAGGAAGAAAAAGAGTGTGTGTGGAGGGGCAGGGAGGAGGCGGGAAGACTGAGGAGCGAGCGTATGGCGGCCAGGCCCCTTCCCCTGCCCAGCTCGCCCCGGGGGTCCCTGCCCCCCCCGCCCCGCCCTCATATCATCTTCATATTGAACTTGCGGGGCGCGTCGGCAGAGCTGATGCCTGCGTCCGACTTGCGGGGCACGTACTCGATCTCGATGTTGTGCTTCGTGTTGCCCTTGCCCCGGCTCCAGAGAAAGAGGAGCACCAGGCAGAAGAGGACGACGCCCAGGAAAGAGATGAAGCCCATGGTGGTGGCAATGATGAGGGTCTTGATGTCGAAGGGGAAAGGCACGGTGGCTCGGGTGCTGTTGGCCTCTCCCTCGCCCGGCTGGTTGGAGATGAAGGCGAAGGTCTTGTTGGGCTGATGGGGCCAGTCGGGCGAGTAGCTGCGCACATGCAGGTGGGCTGGCATGGAGTCGTTGCCGCCCGCGTTGGCCGCGATGCACAGGTATGTGCCATTGTCCTGGACCTGGGCGTAGCGCACCTCCAGCGTGCCGTCGGGGAAGACCGTGAGCCGCCCGTTGCTCTTGGCCGAGACCAGGTGCTTGCGGGGCGAGAGCCAGAGGATGGCGGGCGGCGGGTCGCCGTCGGCCCGGCACACAAATTGCACCGTGTGGCCCTCGTCCACAAACACCTGCTGGGCTTTGCGGTCCCGGATGCGGGCGCGGCGGCAGGTGAAGTAGTTGGGCAGGAGCACGTCGGGGAAGTCCTTGAACTCCTTGCCCTGGACGAATTCGGGGGTGGCGCACGTGGGCTGCTGCCGGTTGAAGTTAAGCCGCCAGCGGCGCCGGAACACCCACAGGAGCCGGCAGTCGCAGGCCAGCGGGTTGGAGTCCAGGATGAGCGTCTCCAGGTTGCCCACCGAGTGGAAGGCCGACTCCTCCAGGGTGGTCAGCTGGTTGCCCGAGACGTTGAGCACACGCAGGTAGTTGAGGCCGCGGAAGGCGTAGGGCTCCACCACAGCCAGCTGCCCGCCTACCAGCTGAATCTCCTGCAGCCGCAGCAGCTCATGCAGCATGGCACCCTCGATGGTGCTGATGGGGTTGTAGGAGAGGTTGAGGAAGCGGAGATAGACCAGGTGGCGCACGGCCAGGTAGGGCACGGCGGTCAGATTGCAGTGCGTGATGGACAGGGATGTCAGGTTGAGGCCATAGAGGCAGTTGGGTGTCATGGTGTCCAAGTAGGGCCAGTGGGAGATCTCCAAGACCTTGAGCCGGTACAACCTCTTGAAGGAATAGTCCCGGATGGCGTTGATGTTGAGGTGCCGGAGCCGCAGGACAATGAGACTGTGCAGGTGGGACAGCGCCTCGGTGGGGATGGAGGTCAGGTTGCATTTCTCGAGCGTCAGCTGCTCCAGGCTGTTGAGGCCGCTGAAGGCGCGGTGGGAGATGTAGACGAGGTCGTTGTCGCCGACCTCCAGCGACTTGAGGTTGTACAGGTCCTGGAACATGTAGTCCAGCAGGATGACGATCTTGTTCTCGCTGATGTCCAGCTTGGTCAGGTTGCTGAGGCCGGTGAAGACGCCCAGGGGGATGAGCTTCAGGCGGTTGCTGCGCAGCCCCAGCGTCCGGAGGCTGAAGAGGTTGTTGAAGGCGCCGGGCTCCACGGCGCTCACGATGTTCTCGTTGAGCTCCAGCTCTTCCAGGTGTGGGAAGCTGGCGAACTCGTCCTGGTTGAGCGTTTTGATGCGGTTCTTGCCCAGGTCCAGCAGGCGGGTCTCGGTGGGGATGCCCTCGGGGACCGCCACGAAGCGCCTGCGGTGGCAGAGCACGGCGCGGTCCTGGGCGGAGCACTCACAGCGGGGCGGGCAGCCGGTGGCCGAGCCTGACAGCACCGAGCCCAGCACCAGCAGGAGGATGGGCTGCCAGCAGGCCAGGAGGGGGCTGGGCATGCTCCTCGCGCCCCCCGCCAGCATCCTCTCGCTCACCTGCAGCCAGGAGCAAGCACAGGACAGAGGGGGCAATTAGAGGAAAGCGTCTGGCTGGACCCCAGTCTGTGCCCTCCTGCCCATCAGGATGTCCCTGACACAGAGAGCTGGGGGTCTGCAGTGGCATATGCTCCTGGGACCTCAGAATGAGGTCCCGGTGCCCAGGCCAGAGAGCCTCCTGCCACCTGCTGCTTCCTTCTTGCTCCCTATCCTGCCCAGAGCCCTCCCAAAGGAATTGCCCAGCATCCCTAGGATTGAGGGAGTTCACCAAAAGGACAGGGTCACCTCTGAGGAGACTGGTATTGGCATCCCAGCATCCACCTCCTTTACATCTCAAGTTTTACAGGCAATGTGATCCAGGCACGCACATCGTACCCCACCCCATCCCCTGAGCCTCAGCTTCCCCTGGGCTCATCAGGGAGAAAGCCGGACCTGCTGAGTGGCCCTTGGGGCTCATGGAGGGAATCAAAGGGGCTCAAAGGCTGCAGCCTCTGAAAACAGCCTGCAGAGGAGCCTGTCTGCTCCCCAGTCTGTCAGGCAAGGGCTTCCAAGGCTGCTGGGGGCCACCCTCACGGCCTTTAGCCTGAACTCCCTCAGGCACAGACAGCACAGCGCCCTCCTCGCTGGCCACTGCAGCTGAGCCCCCAGCCCGCGTCCTGGGACATCAGCAAACACAGTGGCACCTGTCAGTGGCCATGAATCTGCTCCCCAACGGGGTTTCTGGATCAGTGGAGGGCACCCCAGCCAGAAGGCCAGGACCCTACCCTGATGCCTCCTGCCTGTCTTTCGGGGTTCTGATCACGCTCCTCCTCGAGCCGGGGTTCTGTGAGGCTGTGAGTCTGAGGTGGAGATGTTCAGATTCCCACAGCCCAGGACGGCACCGGCAGCTGGAGGTGCCTGTCCAAACCGCAGCACTGAGGACACGAGGCTCGTCACAGCTGGGCACTGGGGAACATGGTGGGCTTGGGTGGCAGTGACAGGAGTAGTGGCACTAGGAGGGGGGCCCGGCTTGAGTACAGGCTGCAGGCGGGGTAAGCAAGGGCTACGTGGGAGTGAGTCTCCCCCCCACCCCCGTCACTCTCTACCAGCCGTGTTGAGAGGCTACCTGCTCCCACCTGTGCCCAGACTGCCTCCCCACCTCCTCCTTCCCTCCTCTGTTCCATCCCATGGAATAGCAGGGTCAGGAGGGAGCTAGGAGGGCTAGTCTGGACTTCTCCAAACCCCAGGGGGTGGGCCAAGGGGGGCCAAACCGTAGCCCAGTTGCTACTGGTGGGGTGAAATCCATCCCGCCCCAGCCTGCCACCCTTAGGCCTCTGCTGTCTGTTCCCACACCCCACACCCATGATGCCAAGGGGGGTTCCCTGCAGGAAGGGGAAGTCCAGGCTGGGCGGGCCCCACAGCTCTGCCCCTGATCAGGCCCTTCTCCCACCTCTTCCAGCACCCCCCCCAAACCTGTACCGAGCCTCTGCTTTCAAGGCCACAGATCTTTTCACCTGCACGTCTACCATTCAGGCAAGGGGGCTCAAAGAACTTGTGGCTGCCTAAGGAAACACAGCCTGTAGAAGGGGGTGGATCCGGGACCAGAGCTCTAGTCTGCGAAACATGCCACACACCTTCCGGTGCTCCAGCAGTCTCCCGGGACTGACAGTGCTCCCTGGTTGTTGATCGACCAAGTGACTGATTAACCAGAGAGGGCTCTGGGTGTCATGGACATGTTATGGAATCCGCGAGGTTTTGTTATCCCCGATGGCTTTGCCTGCCCCCCTCCCCTCGGCCCCTCTCATCCTCTCTCCAGACTCCTGTGGTTCAGCCTCCCCCCTCCCCGCCCCCACTGGGCCATTTTCCACAGTCACACACACTCCAGTCACCCACCAGAAAAGCAAACATCCTGACAGGCGATCAATAAGTAATTGGGCCTGCAGCTGGGGCCGGCGCGGGTGTGGGGCTGGGGACCTGGACAGGTAAACAGGACTTTTAGCACCCAGCTCAGGGCTAGGCTGATGGGCGAAGTGGGGGCAGCTGGAGAGGGTGCTGAGGACTGACAGGGGGGACAGCAAGGACACAGATGCTGGTAAGTCCTTCACATACACGAGAATAAGGCGTTCAAAGCCACCACCACCCTGCCTCAACCTACCCAGGTACTCCTCTCCCAGCAGTCTGCCCTGTGAAGCCACCCGGGTGTCCCAACCTGGTCCTGGCTCTCAACTATCTCCTTTTGGAGGACCCTCCCAGCCTCCTGCCCTAGCAGCCTTTGTGACCTCCCTTCCCAAAGGCCACCTCCTCCACGAAGCCATCCAGAACCTATGCAGTCAGAAATCATCTCTTTCCCACAACACTGAGGCACCTTATGCTTATTCGTAGTGACGTTATGTAACCGCTGTATAGCACACCTCATTCTAAAAATAACTTGAGCCAACTGACAGAAAACATTATGCAACGAGATGATAAAAAGATAACACCAGCCAGTGAGGAAAGAATACCACGAAGTCACGCCTAACGATGAAAGGTGAGAGCTTCCTGGGAACCTGAACAAAGAGAGGAATATGTTCCAGATCCTCCACACCCGGCTCTGCGCCCATGATATATGCTTAATCCGTGGTCAAACAGTCACGGGCGCATCTGTCTCACGGAGCAGCACCCAGGAGTGTCCTCTGAAAGGGTATATGCAAGACTTTGTGCAGGGGTTGAGAGCCTGATGAGTGGCTGTCCTGAAAGGTGGGGAAACTGAGGCCTGGAGAGGTTAAGATGCCTGCCCGCGCTGACACGGCAGGAGCACAGCACACGGGGCCTCGCCTCCCAGCCTGACACCCCCAGGGGGCCCATGTCATCTAGGGGTGCTGCCAGAGCTGTGTCGGAGGGGGTCGCCAGAACTGCTGAGCGGGCAATGTGTTGCTCCTGCCTTCCTGGCACTGCGGATCCCGCTAGTTACTCCTGCCATTGCAGAGAAGTGTTTTATGCATTTTAATCAGCGTTTTATTTTGGATCCCTGGCCCCTGAAGGGCTTCCCACAAGGGCAAGAGTTTAAAAATTGGACCAATAAATACAAAGGGGATAAACATGGAAAGCAGGCAGGTGGGCAGGCTAAGGGAGAGCAATACCCAGCCTACGGCAGCCTGAGCCCTCGCGATCCCAGAGCGGTGGGGGAAGCTGATCAGACCCGCAAAGGGTGGCCTCCACCATCACACTTTCACTCCTAGCCCTGGGCGTATATGCCTCGCTCAGTGGCTCCCCACACCAGCCCCATATGGTTCCTCAGCCACTCCGCTGTGTGACCTTGGGCAAGGCCTGCCCTCTCTGGTCTATTTCCTCCACTGTACAGTGAGAGGCTGGATTCCCGGCTCCCTGAGGGAGCCCACAACAGAAAATGACCTGCACCAGCTAGAAAGTCACACTGTCAAACCTGGTTCGGGGTGAAGAGGAGTGGGGGCTCAGGTTCCAAACTGCAGCACCACCAGGGCCGGAAGGATCTATCTGAAAGGCCTCCCAGTGGGGCTGTCCCCTGTGGTGCTCAGGATGGGAAAGGAGACTGGTGGGGACAGAAGGGCATGGTGGGATCACCCGTGAGTAGACTTGGGGAGAGAGAGCAAGGGTCATTCCATCTCTTAAGGTAGCATTCAAAAGAGGTTATTTTGGGGGCGCCTGGGTGGCTCAGTTGGTTAAGTGTCCGACTTTGCCTCAGGTTGTGATCTCACAGTAAGTGGGTTCGAGCCCCACGTCGGGCTCTGTACTGACAGCTCAGAGCATGGAGCCTGCTTCGGATTCTCTGTCTCCCTCTCTCTCTGCCCCTCCCCCGTTCTCTCTCTCTCTCTCTCTCTCTCTCTCTCTCTCAAAACTAAACAAAAACATTAAGAGATTTTTTTAAAAAGAGGTTATTTTGTAGCCATTTTACAGATGGAGACTGAGGCTTCTGGAAGGGAATTCATGTGCCCTCAGGCCTAGGCACAAAGTTAGGGGGCAGCAGAGCTCTGTTCCCCCTGGTCACTTTGCCTGGTATGAAGCAGGAATTCTTCTGGAAACACAGCCAGAGCAGGAGGGGCAGGCCTGTCAGGGGGAGGCCCCAGGGCACAAAGGGGGCTCGGCCCTTAGAGAGCTCAGGCAGGCGCTCTGTCCCCCAGACCCAACATCAGCCGTTCCCCGACTGTGTACGTTGAACACACTGAACTTCTCCTCCTGTGCCTGCTGCCATTGTCTGTGCTAGAAACTCACCTCATTTGGGGGCGGGGTGGGGGAGAGGCGGGGCTGCAGCACAGAATGGAAGGCTTCGCTATTTTAGGCTTATGGTATCAATATTTCATGGTGTTCCCACTCACCATTCCCCAGGGAGCGTGGGGCTCCCCTCCACATACAGGCATGGGGTCCTGGGCATGGACGTGCCCGCTGCCATTGCTGGGGGCTTGGCACCTCTGCCTGGCCGTGTGACCTGAGCAATCTCAGCAGGCTGTTGCCCATGTGCAAAACGAGGCGGGCGTGCCCCTTCACGTCCTGTCCTGACACCCTACAGTCTACATTTCTACCGCCGGCTCTGCAGCAGGAGGGAGTGAGGAGGGACGTGGCGGGCCTGGGAAGGGGGCTGAGGGTCAGCAGAACGTCTGCTGACGGCTCCGTCCAGCTCTGCCACCAAGAGGTGCGCGGAAGAGCAGCAGAGGAAGGGTGAGGGCAACAGAGAAGACACACAGGGGGCGAAACAGGAAAAAAAGGGAGGAGGAGAGAGGGGCAGAGAGCACGCAGGAGAAAGACGGGCTCCCCGGACAGCGGGCGGGAGCATTGGCACGGGTCGGGGGGAGGCGGAACGAGAGTTGTCCCACAGGCTCAGCTCCTGTTTCCTTCACTCCTGGGCGCCCACTGCAGGTCACAAGCCCCTGGCCTGTCACACACCCTGTCCTCACCATCACCTGGTGAGGTAGCTTGGATTACTCTGAAAAGTGAAGGCACGCACGCAGGGTGACCAAAGAACAGAGGCAGATTCCCGGTGACCTGCCCTGTCCCCAGACCCACTTCAT